CAGAAATAATAATAATCTCTTTAGGATTAGGACAACTGCACCAACTCCAGCACCCAGAACAAATTCATTTAAAATGGCTCTCTTCAATGTGAGATCACTTTCAAGTAATCTTAAATGATTTTATCTTGTCTGCAAATCTAGATTTTATGTTTTTAACTGAATCCTGGTTGCAAATGAATGACTATAGCCAGCTAGCTGAACTGTGTCCGCCTCAATATGATTGTTTTAGTCAACCGAGAGTCAGTGGTCATGGTGGTGGGCTAGTGAGCGTGCACAGGAAAAATGAAAAATGTCATCAAGTACGCTGTGATGAATTTAACTCCTTTGAAGTTCTCACTCTTAAAGTTGGAGGGCTGCAACCTATCATATTTGTTATAATTTATCGCCCCCTAAAACCGCCTGGAGGATTTTTATCAGAACTTCCTGAATTTTTATCTACTGTGGTTTTAAACTATGACAGAATTGTTCTTTGCGGTGATTTTAATATTCATGTTGATGACCCCAACAATGTTAATGCAACTGACTTTTTAAATATGGCCACTTCTTTTAACTTCAAACAACATGTCAAAGGGCAAACCCATAACCGTGGTCATACACTGGACTTTACCCTGGGTGTCAGCATTTCCTCTGTGGAATTAGTGGATATGACCATATCTGACCACAGATGTATTGTTTTGAGCTGCAATTCGCCTGTTACTCATGCCGCCTCACCAAGCTCCGTATGTTCTCGCGTCTTTAATGAACAAAGTGTTTCAAAGTTTTGCGCATTCCTTCAGAGCCAAAGCCAACACCTGTCTGATTCCAACACCAACAATCTGGTCGATCACTTCAATCATATCTGCTTGTCGTCACTAAATATTACTGCTCCTCTAAAGGTTAGGCCTACGTCTAAAGCTAGTAAGCAACCCTGGATAAATGACAGCATTCGCAGCCTAAAAAGGGAATGCAGGAAAGCAGAGCGCAGATGGAAAAAATCCAGTCTACAAGTCCATTACCTCAGTCTGAAGGATTTATTAATTAAATACAATAACTTGGTTAAGGATGAGAGAACACACTATTTTTCTGAACTCATTACTACACATAAACACAACCCCAGGTTTCTATTTAAGACTGTGGATCAGCTGGTAAACCCAACCCCTCCTTGTGCCTCAGCTGGAAGTAATGATGACTGTGAATTGTTTTTATCTTATTTTACCAATAAGGTGGTGTCAATCAGCCTCTATTACCCCCGCGGCCTCTTACTCAGAGGTCCATCACCAGCAACAAGAGAGTTTTATCCCATCGACTTGTCTGAGCAGTATCACAAATGAGAGTGTCCTCCAGCCCACTTGATGTAATACCTACAAAGTTTTTACTGAAAGTAATAGATTCTGTTGGGCCCCATTTGATCTCTGTTTTCAACAGCTCCCTATCTACTGGTTGTGTCCCTGATTATTTTAAAACGGCTTGCGTGAACCCACTTTTAAAGAAACCTGGTTTAGATCCCTCCCTCCCACATAATTTTAGACCAATTTCAAAACTGCCTTTTATTGCAAAGATTCTAGAAAGAATTGTGTCCTCACTGTACTGGAAAATAACAAAATATTTGAAAAGTTTCAGTCTGGTTTTAGGTACCACAGCACTGAGACTGCCCTGCTTAAACTCACCAATGACCTTTTAATGTCTGCTGATGATGGCATGTGCTCAGTCCTAGTACTCCTGGACCTTAGCGCTGCTTTTGACACCATTGATCACAACATCATGTTAGACAGACTGAGGCACTGGGTGGGGATCTCTGGTACTGCCCTAGAATGGTTTTCATCCTACCTGTCAAATAGGAAGTTTTGCGTGTCTGTAAACAACTATGTCTCCTCGTTCCCCTTCGAGGGAACGAGACACTGCGTCGGTTACGACACTATGGGAACGCCTCTAGGCGAAGCAGGTCTGAACGTGAATGAAATCACTCCAATCCTATTGGCTTGTTGCTAGAACGGTAAGGTGTGATGGAATAACCGGAGGAGTATAAAGCACACCTGTACACACTCATCATTAGCTTTTTTCTATTCAGCAGGCGCTCTGTATGTTGTTTGAAGAAAGCTCCAGTCCTACAAGCAGTGTGTCTTACCTGAAGAAGAAGTCTACCAGCATGTCCGGCAACCAGATGCACAGAAGGTGTGTTTTTTTCTAGCCCTCGGTACATCACGGATGGAGATTCTCATGAGATGTGTGTCTCATGTTTGGGGATGGAGCACGCCCGGGCAGCTCTCGAGGGGGCTGCCTGCGCCCGTTGCGAAGCCCTTTCCGTGCGGGTACTGAGGTACAGAATGGCTCTCTTTTCCGAGGATGTCCGGATGTGTTTTCCTTACGGTGTGGGCCCTGCGGCCGCTGAGGCGTTCCCATAGTGTCGTAACCGACGCAGTTCGAGTTCCCTCGAAGGGGAACGTCTCGGGTTACGTATGTAACCCTGGTTCCCCGAGAAAGGGAACTAGACACTGCGTCGGCCTGCCGCACCTCTCTCCCCGCCTGAAGCGCCTGCTTCATAGTTTAAGCTAATGATGAGTGTGTACAGGTGTGCTTTATACTCCTCCGGTTATTCCATCACACCTTACCGTTCTAGCAACAAGCCAATAGGATTGGAGTGATTTCATTCACGTTCAGACCTGCTTCGCCTAGAGGCGTTCCCATAGTGTCGTAACCGACGCAGTGTCTCGTTCCCCTTCTCGGGGAACCAGGGTTACATATGTAACCCGAGATGTTCTGTCCAGTTAAATATGGTGTGCCTCAGGGGTCGGTCTTAGGACCCATTTTGTTTTCATTGTATCTGCTTCCCCTTGGGCATATTATCCATAAAAATGGCATTTCTTTTCATATTTATGCTGATGACACACAAATATACTTGCCCGTCAGATCCACAGACCCTGGAATGCTGAGTTCACTTAACAACTGCCTTTGTGAAGTTAAATAATGGATGTCAAATAATTTGCTCCAGCTGAACTCAGACGAAACAGAAATCCTGGTCATTGGGTCCCAGCAGATGGCAAATCAAATACTGCCATCTGCTGGTTCCCTAGTAAATCACATTAAGAACCTTGGTGTCTGGTTTGATAGTAATTTAAATTTCGAGCAGCACACCACAAAGCTTGTTCAATCATGTTTTTATCAACTTAGAAATATAGCAGAAAATCGATCTATGGTAACTTTTTAGGACACCGAGACCATTTTACACGCCTTCATCGCATCACGCCTGGATTATTGCAACAGCCTTTTCACCTGTTTAACCCAAAAATCTATTGATCGACTCCAGACTGTCCAGAACCCAGCTGCCAGGCTTTTAACCAGAACAAAGAAATATGACCACATTATTCCTATTTTAGCTTCATTACACTGGCTCCCAGTATGTTTTAGAATTGACTTTAAAATTCTATTCTTCATGGCCTCTCGCCTTGTTATATTTCTGACCTTTTAGTCCCATAAAAACCAGCACGTACCTTGAGATCCGCGGGCAGAGGTCTGCTATGTGTTCCAGAGTCTCGACTGAAAACGAAAGGGGACAGAGCGTTTGCTGTCAGGGCCCCAAGGCTCTGGAACAGCCTGCCCGAGGAAATCAGGTCGGCTGAGTCAGTGAACTCTTTTAAGTCCCTTCTTAAAACATACTTTTATAGGAGAGCCTTTCCCGATCCTTTTATTTTATTGTATTTTTACTAATTTTATATTTATCTTATATGTGTATTTTAGTCTTTTCAATGTTTTCATGCTTTTATCTTGTATTGTTTTTGTATTATTGTCTTTACACTTGTTAAAGCACTTTGTAACTTGTTTTTGAAAAGTGCTCTACAAATAAAGATTATTATTATTATTATTGGATCCTGTTCGTGGACTTCAGCTCGGCGTTCAACACCATCATCCCGGACATCCTCAGCACCAAACTCACCAAGCTCACTGTGCCAGCCTCCACCTGTCAGTGGATCACAAACTTCCTGACTGACAGGAGTCAGCAGGTGAGACTGGGAAACATCACATCCAGCTCCCGGACTATCAGCACTGGCGCCCCCCAGGGGTGTGTGCTCTCCCCACTGCTCTTCTCCCTCTACACCAACGACTGCACCTCAGGAGACCCTTTTGTCAAACTCCTGAAGTTCGCTGGCGACACAACGGTCATCGGCCTCATCCGGGAGTCGGCCTACAAACGGGAGGTTCATCAGCTGGCTCTCTGGTGCGGTCAGAACAACCTGGAGCTTTACAAGCTCAAAACTGTGGAGATGAGTGTGGACAAAGGATATCTCAGTAACTAACGTACCTCAAAGGCCGAGGAGCGAGGAGGCTTGTTGGAGGAGTTATAAGCGAGGATACACCGGCATATCCTTTGCAGAAGTCTTTTTGGTAGCCGGGATATTTGAAAGAGGCGTGACATGCAGCTGTACGCGTTCCTTGTTAAGAGAGATGCTATGCTGTTTACACATGAGGCTCAGAAACTTAATATTTAAATCTACCAATACGCCGACAAGATGTGTCAGGATCTGATGTTAATTCAGGTTCTGTGTTCTTCTACACATCCAAAAGGTCTGAGACAGTCCAGGTTCATACAGGGAAACAGTTTAGAGTGAAGCAGCTGTCCTGCTTATCAATGCTGACTCCACTTGTACCGAGCTACCACATGCCATCAGAGCAGGGGCGTCCCTCTCTGACTTCAAGAAGATTCTGGAAACTTTGCAGAGAACACTTCCTCTGAAAACACCTCCAACCTCTAACATGCACTTGTGCTCTTGTTCTTCTGTCTCCTTACAGGCCTCTTGTATTGATAATACTATTTTGTTAACACGTACAGCATCAGTGGGGTAAATACGTACGGGAAGAAGTAAGAGCTAACAGCTCTTACGAGTACGTTTGGTCAGTTGTAGATGTCTTACTGTATTGATGCTTGTAAGCTGTTCCTCAAATGCAAGTCGCTTTGGAAAGAAGGGTCTGCCAAATGAGGAATTAAATGTAGATGATGTCACTGATGATGTCACTGATGGGCTTACCTGAGCAGGTGAGATCCACGATGAATGGAGACGAATCTGATGATGTTACACACTCCCTCAGAGCAGATCCAGACTGAACACAGTCAAACCAGATCCACCACACAGGTCTGAGTGAGGACTCCTTTCTCTGTCCTACAGAAACAGCAGAGCCACAGTCCAGCTCTCTACAGACAACAGCTGCTGTCTTCAGGGTCCAGCCAGAGACAGGGTCACTCCCTGGTCTCCAGTCTCCCTGATGTTTCACCTCCAGTGTTCCTGCACAGCGACTGGCTTCTCCCACCAATCTGACATCATGAGGCTCTGAACAGAAACCAGAGAGTCATCAGTAAAACAATAAAGTGAGTTTCATCAGAAGAGAAAAGAAGCAAATCAAAGCTGCAGCTCCTCTTCTACCTGAGCAGGTGAGTCCAACAGCTTTTCCAGGTGAGCAGGTGTTTCTAGCTGAGCCTGAGCTTCTACAGTCCAGGAGAGCAGACTCATGGCCTCCACACTGGAACTCTTTGGTCCACATCGGAGCCTCCACTTCTCCATAGAGGGTCCCATGGAGGACTGAAGGAGCCCCACAGCCAAGCTCCCTACAGACCACCTCTGCATCCTGCTGGTCAAAGTCAGCTTCACACACTGAGGACCACCACTGGTTAGACTTCAGCTCCAGTCTGCCTGAGCACAGACTAGTCCCGCCCAGCAGCCTGACAGAGTCTGGAGAGATGATAGAAGATGAAATAGAGATAAAGACAGCAGACACAAAAGAAAAACATGTCATGAAACAACAATTCAATGATTCAAAGTGGACTCAGCACAACTCCAACATCAGTTCATCATTAACAACAGAAAACATCTTTCTACCAGCACATTTCCATTTAATACTCTGTCACACTTGTTCTCCACGTCTGAATACTTTCAACATGTTTCCAAACAATAGCACAACATCATCATCTGCAGATTTCTCTGCTCTGTTCCTTCTGCTCAGCTACTCCACAATCTTTGCTCTCCACACAAACAAGTTCAACACTTTTCATTCTGTCTTAATGTTCTAAGAAGATCTGGAACCCAGAAGAAAAAGTTCCTTAGAAAATGCTCCAACAACTCTAACAGGGATAGGGGCTGGACTCTCTCCTTTGAAGGAGCTGCCAGGGTGGAGGACGCCACGTGGGCGTGGAGATACTGACGAGCCCCCGGCTGAGCTCAGCTGCTCAAAGTGGTGGCCAGCAGGTCATTGGTGCCTGTTATGGAGGCAACCAAAGAGCCTGCTGGTGGAAACCAGTGGCTAAGAACACCGTAAGGCTGAAGGAGGAGTCCTTTCAGGCTGGTTGGTGGTTGGCCCTGGGGCCTCCTGAAGCAGCAGACATGTTTCATATATACATATATATATCTTGGTGCATTCAGCTCCTGATTTACTGAGGCAGCAGCTCATCAGACTCCGTCATGGCTGCCAGAAACAGTCTGCTGCCATTCTAGCTGCTGAGTGTGAGTCAACCTGGGTACATTACTGTAAGAGATGATGTCATAGATGATGTCACCGATGGGCTTACCTGAGCAGGTGAGATCCACGATGGAGGAAGAGGAATATGATGATCCACACTCCCTCAAAGCAGATCCAGACTGAACACAGTCAGACCTGATCCACCACACAGGTCTCCGTGAGGACTCCTTTCTCTCTCCTACAGAAACAGCAGAGCCACAGTCCAGCTCTCTACAGGCAAGAGCTGCTGTCTTCAGGGTCCAGCCAGAGCCACTCACTGGTCTCCAGTCTCCCTGATGTTTCACCTCCAGTGTTCCTGCACAGCGACTGGCTCCTCCCACCAATCTGACATCATCAGGCTCTGAACAGAAACCAGAGAGTCATCAGTAAAGAAGTGAATTCAAGAGATTAAACTAAACCTTGGCTGCTGATTCTGCTTCTGTGATTCTTTCCTTCTCTTTTCTTTCTCTCTTTACCTGTTGAGGTGTGATTTCCTTCAGCCTGGAGTCCTGTGATTAGAGCACAGCGGTGGACAGAAAAAACACTATCAGCTCAGAAACATCTCAGTGAACTCCCTCTGAGTCATTTTACCAGTTTACTGTAGGTGAGATGAACATGTGAATACACAGAACAGCAGCCAGCAGACTGGTTTATATAGAGTTAAAGTTCAGCATTCAGTGAAGTATGCTCGCTCAGCTTCACTTTATTCATAGTGCAACATCACAAACTGAGTGTCTTCGCACACTGTCAGATTAAATTGCACAGATGGAAATGTTTCTACAGAAGAACAAGAATCAGGTCCCACCCCCTCCTGTCACCTGACTCCCAGCTGAAGAAACGACGTGTTACATGATGATATATGATGCTACTGTTAGATTAAGGGTTCACACCTAAAGGATCAGTTCTCCAGCTGGTCCAGTTTGTGTTAACAAAGGCAAAACTCAAACTGTTCGATTATTGGTCATCCAGTCAGCGGGTAAAAAAAACAAACCCCTCCAAAGACACTGCAAACCAGATTTCTTTTCCTAAAAAGATCACAACTTGAACATTTATCCTTACAATATGCTTTTTAATTGTAGAACATTTACTTCTTCAAAGTACTAAGAGATATCTGTGTTGATGTGAAGACTTATGGCAGTATAAAGAGCACAGCAGGGAGCTGCAGGACAGTGCAGCGAGAACTAAACAGAGATCCAAGGCAATCTGTTTTATGACCTGATGCCTGCAAACAACAACCAAAGTCAGCAGGATCCATCCTCTCGGGACCATCAGTGTCTAAACAAAGTCATCACATCTTTGTACTGGAGGGAGGCTGAACGCTGTCTGTACGGCTGTCAGACCGGGCCAAAGTAATACTTACAGTAGTGACGGGGGGTACGAGAATTAAAAAGAACAAAATGTTGGAACAACATGCTCCAAATTCACCTTTCAGTGGTGGAACAGTGACAGGAACAGTGTGCAGGGCTGGGTAGGCAATGATATTATGCTTGGATAGAATTAGAAAATGGATTATTGTTGCTCATATTAATTACTGATGCTCCTCTCATGCTCAGGCTTGCCTGGTTCAGCAGGCCCGACGTTAGGAATTACGGAGGGGGGGGGGCAACATTTTCCAAATTTGGCCCAGTGGCAGGTGAAGATTCAAAACCCAAAACACTAACAGGATGCAAGTCTTTCTGCTCTCAGATCTGTTTCTCCTGTAGAGCAAATCCTTTATTATCTGCATAGTCATGATTTAGTCTTCCCTCCTCTTTGTCTCTTTGTTTGGGGAAGTAACCTCTTTAAATATGACTGTGGCTCCTTTTCACCCCGATCGGATAAATTAATTTTAATTCAGTTAGAAACTCCTGGACTTTAACAGCTCCTGGGTTTCAGCAGCTTTTCTGCTCAGGTTCAAAACTTTCTGCACATTCAGGATCTCTCCCACAGATCTGTGCTTCGATACGTGTTTCAAACCCTGAACATAGAACCGCTGGTTCAAAGCTTGCTTTGGTGTTAAAAACAGCTTCTTCACTGACTGAATGAATGACTGGTTCGCACACCCAACCTATGTCATATTTCCCTGCACTCTCCTCAACAACACAATACATGCTTTCACCAATCTGTATTTGGAAATAGGAAATGATGTTCAGTCTTAATGTTTGTCAAAGAATTTTTAAAGTAAAGATAACTTAAATCCAAGGGTGATCAAAGCAAAGATGCTTCAGAACCAAACGTCTTTTCTACAAAAGTAGTTTCCAGCACGTCTCATGGAGGCGTGCATGTTAAAGCCTCCTGTCCACCAGCTAGCCGGCAGCCTTGCACTTCAGCAGCAGAAGTCTCTGTAACTGAAGCTTTGAGTAATGAACCCATGTTCGAAACAACTGGCTCAAGTGGTTTAATGCTTCACAGAAGCTTCATTTGTCCATCACTATCTGTGTTCTCTGACAGGTCCAGAGAAAAGGCACAATATTCCCAGACTAACATCATCATTAATGAGAGCTTATAATGTTTTTTAGTCTACCTGCTCTAGACTCTGCTGTGCATTACATTATTGCTCCGCTGGTAGTTTCCCCATGAGACCGTCTGACAGACACGGAACTGTTTGGGACTGTACTGGATGAGACGAGGAGGTGAAAAACTAACTGAAATCTCACCACATATTCACACGTTAACCTCAGCAGCTCTGACAAAGTGCAGCTCTCAGAAGCTTCATTGGGAAGCATCCTGCAGCAGAGAGATGCTCAAAAACAGTCGCTCTCTTCAGCTGCACTCTTCACTACACATGGAACTCAGAATGCATGCCTCTTTATTCCCTTTGAAACAATAGAAGCAATAAAAACACTGTATAGCCACCGTCTCATGTCTTATGGTGCAGCCTGTACAGGAACATAACCCTTCTTATCTTCATGGATCCATACTTAGCTTTTAGATGTTCAGATGGGAAAAGATAAAGTCATCAAACCATTTTTAGATTTCTTATTTTACCACTCTGTCACAAACTGTCTGTGACTCACAGCACTAGTGCAGGTCTGCTTGATTACGATCACGGCGTACGCTGGTGTCGCTTCAGCCGGGCGGAGCCGATTCACGCCGCAGGCTGACGTTATCAGTTCTACATGTTATCAGTCGTTTTTCACTACGTGACTAAATTGATGTTTCGGCGCGAGAGCGTGTGAAAGTGTTAACAGACTGTGGATGATGTTTTAATGCTCCTTCATGGTGGGACAGTGTCAGACTTCTTGAGTTTCATGTTTAAATATCAAGTTTACAGTTTAAGAGCTCGATGTGCAGCCGTCACATATAAGCAGGAGACAATCAGAGTGCGTCCAACAACGATTTTCAGCCAGCATCCCTCTCTCGCCTTCTTTGCAGCAACCATTGGTCCATTTTGTACAGAAGAAGAGTCACATGATGCGTCAGAAGTTAATGGGAACGAGCACAGAGCCTGATGAAGGTAACGAAGATGATCGCCGTGGTGAAACCCGTTATCTCTGACTGCAGTTTAAACCCTTTCACATGACACCTCTTCCTTTCAGCCTGCAGCTGAGAAAGCGTCTGTATTCCCCTGTTTATTTCTGTTCTGTGCATATTAAATACGTTCCTGGGAACCTTTTGCAAGCACAGATTTCTCGTTTATAACTGTTACTAATTTGCATCATACTTGAATTTAAATCTTTTCTATGAACAATCTCCACTTAATTTAACGTCAGCTTGAAAACAAATGGAAACACAAATAATCTTTTTAATTTTTTTATTGTAAATAAATTCAGCCGTCAGTTTAAGGTTTCGTCAAGCTGAAGCCAAGAAAGCCTGGATGTGTCCAACCTGCTTCGTAGTACAGCCCTCTGAACACCTGATACACCTGGACACAACTGAACATCTGAGGCTAATGTTTAGCAGCAGAAAAAGAAGAAAAAGAAGAGAAAGGATCGTGCTCCAGCAGCTTCACCGCTTGGACTCCTACTAACACATGCTGTTTAAAGTCCTACCTGAGCTCCACAGCAGCAGCAGCACCAACAGGTGATCCATGTCCAGGTAGACCGTCTCTCTGGCCGTCCGCCTGCTCTCTGCTCTGATCATCATGTGCTGTCCTCAGTGTATATCTGCATACAGGAAGAGGTGGAGCTTTACTGGAACACAGCTCATTCAGCTGTCTTTAGTTTCACAGTCAAGAGTCCTCGTCTGAGTCTCTGACACAGGATCAGGGTTTTCTGCCGCCCATGTTTCCAGTTTGACCAGTGGACTGGACAGTGGTCACACTGGAGTCCAGACTGAGCCCAGTTCTCCCTTTGGACTGTGTGCTTCACGTCAAACTGTCGACTTCGTGTCAGTTAAACTTCAATATGTTGCTGTAAAAGGTGGATTAAAGGAAATGTTGATGTTGTTTCCTGTTTTATTTTGAAATGTCTCTGCTGTCTGTCTTTATTTCCTGTCTGTGTCTTGATTACCTGATGTGTCTCACCTGTGTTTAATCACCCTGCCACCTTGTGTGTGTGTACAGGTCTCTGTTGTTGGTCCAGTTCTTGGTTGTTCTTGGCTGTTTTCTGGGGATTATTGCATCTGGATTCATCCGGACTTCATTCCTGCCGGCCTCTTCCTCTCAACATGTTTGTGTTTCGGACTCCGCTCCTAGTTTTCCTCTCGCCTGCCTGCCTCATCATCATTGGAAGTTTGTGTTCACCTTGTTTTGACTTAATAAATCATGTTACAGAGTGAGCTGAGAGTCTGAGCCTGGCTCCTATCCTTTTTACCTGCTGCCACGTTTGACACCACCTGACCTCTGCTCCACCAGGTTCCTCTCTGACGGCAGCACCCGGGGCTTCAAACTGGTTTATACTGGTTGGAAACTGGGTTTAATCTGGTTTTGAAATGGTGTTAAACTGGGTGCACATTTTTTATTTTGGTAAATAAAGTTTTGTCCTTCAGGGACGACGTCGACACTCTGTGGTCTGTAGATTTCCTCTTTTAACTGCATTTCTGTGGAACTGATAAGAAGCTGCTGATTACTGACTACAGGCCGGTGTTACCATGGCAACCAGAGCAGGCTGAGGCGTCGCTATCAGATTAAAGCGGTCAGCGTCTTCTTCTTCTTCCTGCTAGATGTGTCTGATCCCACTTCCTGTGTGTTGCTATGGCGATCCAAACAGCATGTGAGCGTCTCAGTGTGCTTGTTTCTCCTTCCTGGTTCAGCTTCCTGTTATTTCTTAGTTCTGATGATTTAGTGAAGTTTTCACATTCGAGGAGGAAAACTGACTCTGAGGAAACGTTTGTTGTTTCCTCCTGTGGGAGCAGTGATGGAAGAAGTACTCACAGCTTTTACTGCAGTAAGAGTACTAATACCACAGTGTACAAATACTCTGCTGCAAGTAAAAGGACTCATTCTGCAGAATAAAATCTATTGTAGGATTCTGATTATTGCTGCGTTCATGTGTTCATCAGGTTCATGTTGCAGCTGGTAAAGGTGCAGCTCATTTTAATGACTTCATCTCCTGCTGGCTGCTTTAACCTGTAATAATACATCATCATTTTTAGCTGCTGATATTTTGTATCTGTAAAGTAACTGGTAACTCCAGCGCTCAGATAAATGGACTGCAGTAGAAGCAGGAAGTAAAGTAGAATCAGCTGAAAGTGGACTTTAATCCAGAACTTGAACATAATGAGCAGCTGGTTGGTTTGAAATCTGCAGACGTTCATATAATGTCCATCCCTGTTAAAGCTGAAGGGAAATAAAAGTCCTGTCTAATAAAAGCTGGAAGAAAAACAATCTTCTGGACTAAATAGAAAACAGGAGGAAATCTCTGGATCTCTGGCTGGAAGAGACGTTTCTGTTTGTGCTGGAAGCTCGCTGATTAAATCTGAGGGCGTATTAATCACAATCAGCTTTACTGACGTGTTCGCAGACGAGGAGTTTGACCTTTTGCTGCTGTCAGTGTTCTTCCACAGAAATAGAAATACAGGGAAACGCTGAACTGTTCTGTTCAGACAGTACATATATAAAAAGCAGCGTACAGAGACTAGAAGTCAGACTGTTCCAGTGGAAACAAGAAGACAAAGTGCAGAGTGCAAATCTGCTGCAGGAAACTCTGAGTGCTGACTTTGTGTACCTGCAGTAGGTGGATATGTACAGTACATGCATGTGTACAGTATATTCAGAAGCTTTTTCTCTGATTTCGCTGATGTTAAAGCTCAGTGTGGATTTGAACACTACAGATGAAATATATATAAAGCGTATTACTGTATAGTGTAGTATAATATTATTGTATAACTACTCTTTGTTTTTCTTATATACGTGTGATATTACTACATTACTGTGTTACCTGAGAAAGGTAAGCTTGTTTTCGACTCCAGCCTGTCCCTTATTAGCTGCTGCAGTGCAGGATGGATGAAGAATAGACCCGTTTCTCAACTTGTTCTTATTCTAAATCAAACAGTGAAGTAGAAGTCATGCATAATAAATCCCTGCAGTGTGGCTGGCCTTCTGAAGGCAGGACAGGATCATTTGTTTTATTGAACTTCCTCCGTTAGTACATTATTGTGTTTTGGTAGCACATCACAAGTGAGAAAAACACCATCAGAACATTTCATCCAGTTCCTCTGATCAGAAATGACTGAATATTGTTTGGGCTGTGTCTCTGTGGGTTCTGTGCTGTTGTCCTGTTGCTGTTTTCAGCCCAAAACAGCAGCAGCACTACAGAAGAGCCATCTAGTGACTGTTGTCAAAAAAGCACCAGAGTTTCGTCTCTTTGCTTCTTTTCTCTTTGATCTGCTGTTAAATTCTTATTTGCAGTGAATTTGAGTTGTGACGTGTGAAAAATGTAAGTCAGATTTTTTAAATTCTTCAGATCTCTCGTGGAAACATACCATTACTCATGTGGATGAATTCTTTTGGTGCTTTCACCTAATTTCAGAGGGACTGAAATAAAACAGTACTGTTTAATCACTTCCAACTACATATCAAGCTTTATGGGGATGTGTGCAAATAAAAAATAAGCATAACAACAAGCAAAATGTTTACTATGTGTATAAAAGACACACAGAAATAAAACACATTACTGATAATATTTACATAATGTACAAATTGTCATGTTTTAACTTTTAAACAATATTTATATATAAAAACTAACTATGTATTAAAAAACACAGAAAAGTCCCACTATTTACATAATTTGTAAGTTATGAGCATAGCCCTGTGTCCAAGCTGGTTGAAACCCGGAGATGGAGAGCGATGGCTGGGTCTTTGTCCATCTTCAGCTCCAAGGCAGTGGAGCTGGCTGCTGAGTAGATGGGGGTGCAGGTTGCGGTTGGGGTCCTGGTCGTGACCTGGTGGCAGGCACAGGTCATGCTGCCCGTGTTTCACTGGGCCCTGGGCAGCTGGGAAACCTCTCAAAAAAACAAAAACAAATTAGTATTTGCATTTTCAAATTCATTGAAAGAACGTTTACACATCCTCTCTGGTCTTCCTTTAGGTCCCCCTCACACACACACACATCACTTTACACCTAACAAGAATGTGGAGGCTTTGACAGATTTTCCTTCAGCTAATATTCTCTGTATCTATTCCAATTTATTATCTGTGCTGCCTGCCCTGTCCACCCCAAAGCAGGTAACACCTGAATGAGATGTGGGAATATTGTCTCTTCTATTTACACTCATTCAGTATATATATATTTCAGTATATACTGAACATAAATGGACAAAATGATATGAAAGACCACATCTGTACAAGTACTATGATAAAATAGTCAATGGCCAAAACATATTTACTCATCACTTCAAGAGATAATGTTATTCAAATTGTGAATGGAAGTGAAGATATATTACATTAGTTATCACAAGGATATCACATAGAACAGCCGACATACCTACAACATTATGATTTGTAAATGTATCCCAGTTTTACACAAGAAAATAACTTTTACACAAAGTAAACTAAAGGGGCACGCAATTTGTCAAAGTTCATGACAACTTACTGAAACATAAGCAGCACAGACGCAGCTTATTTGAGCCAAGATGGTCACAGTTAGCCAAGCACTAAGTGCACCATTGCCAACAATGTTTTATAAAATAAATACGCTTACCCGTCGACAAATGGATCTCTTATGTGTAATCCTCCTCATTGTAACAATCAAAACAGTCAGACCCCCAAAACTCGTCTCTCATCCTCGTCGCTGCTCTCCAAAATCCTCTTCTTTATACATTATACGTTTTTTCCATGTTTTTCTCGCAGACTTTTCCCCCCTTTCTCGTCAGCTCTGTATTTTCCCCACTGTGAGGTGATGGGTGGGTCCTTAGTGATTTTGAGAGCGTCTATTGGTTAGCTTCATACAAAATGCAGACAGACAGGCTAATCCACCAATTATGGAAGGTGAAAGGCCATTTTGTCTTTCCCCTAGCTCGTTGTGTGAGTCACGTACGATCTCGAGAGAATAAGGACTTTGAAGCTGAGAATCTCTCCATGAAGGCAATATCTGGACCTTTTCTGTGTGCTGTATGATCACGGAGATATTAATGGAATTAGTAAACACCGAGTTGACGCGCCTGTGCCTCCAGGAATGTGAGTATTAATATGACTGGGAGGGGTGGATTCATTTAGGCTAACATATTCTCCATCACCCAGCCAGGTTTCAGTAAGACAAAATAAATCAATATCTTTATAATACCTTTAGAAGAGAGAGATCTGATGTTTAAGAGTCCACATTTAACTCTCCTATTCTTTTGCACTATTGCTCTTGTGGTTTTAATTTTTATGAGGTTTTTATGCACAGCTCCTCTTCTGTTTACCTTTGATTTAAATAATTTCGATGGTCGGGGGCAGACACCGTCACTGTAGGATTTTCACTAAGTAACTCCTGAAATGGAGGAGCAGAGAAGTGTGTTAAACTGCGACTCTGCCTCCTGGTCTCAACTCTGGGTTGTGATGGATTTGGTCCACTAATAAATTTGGCCAGATTCATCCATCTATCATCTGTCTATCTATCAGAATCAGAAGGAGCTTTATTGTCAAGTAGTATTTTACACATACGAGGAATTTGCTGTGGTGATAAGATGCTGCACGCAGAACATACAGTCAACATAAATAAATGTGGAAATATATAAATATGGAATGGAAGAACAACATTGCAGATATATACATGTGCGTTATTCTGGGTCTGTGCCGTGCAGAAGTAACATAACGGAAGAGAATATTGTGTACATATAAATATATAAACTGACAACATAAAAATATACAACAACAAAGATCAACAATCAACAACAAATATGTGCGACGTGCCAGGTCTGAGCCCGACACAAGATGAAACGGTATTTACATGTGCAGAGACATTTGTATCGTTTGCAAGGGTGGAGTGTCAGTAGGGGACCCGGGCCTTGTTAATGAGGCTAGTTGCAGATGGGAAGAAGCTGTTTTTGTGGTGAGAGGTTTTGGTCCTGATGGACCGCAGCCTCCTGCCAGAGGGGAGAGTCTGAAACAGTCTGTGGGAGGAGTCAGCTGCAATCTTTCCTGCTCGCCTCAGAGTCCTCGAGAAGTACAGGTCACTGATGTCGCAAGAAAAGTGGGAATTAAATCCACTGGAGTTGTTCCCCTGATGTTCATTAGCTCCTCCCTGGTGAAAGAGCTCCGGGAATCACAGCCGAAAACTGAATTAACACACGAAAACAAAACAAAACAAAGTGCACCGAACACTGAGGCAGCTATACTCAACGCCATCTATCATTTATCTATCTAACTATCATTTGTCTAGCTGGAGCAAAACGGTTTGCCGATTTGGACTCGGGGTGGAATTTGCAGCGGGACTGGTACATTTTGCAGAGAATTGGAGAGTAGCTGTCAGACGTTGTCCCAGCCGCAGCATATGCGCCACACTGGGGACGGGAAATAACAGCCAGATTCCTTGCATCGTGGGGGCGGGGGCGGCACGGAGGCCCCTTGCATGTGAA